AGCACCAGGACCAACCCGACCTGGAGCAGCTCAGACCAGAGGAACCCTCAGTGCTGAGCTCACCCCTCACCCTTCCTCACCTGATATTCTATAAATACAGATTTATCATAGTGATAATACATACTATCCTATAKAATACATATAATATATATTATATAACTATAAATTAATATATTGTATATAATATCTATAATTCTATACAATTCCCAAACCTCCAGGAGTTAGGGAACGTTCATCCTCCACCAGGACTCCCCAAACCCGGGAAAAAAAGGAGGTGAAATTGCTGGGAAAGGCTTTTGCCACAGGGAGGGGATTTCAATTAACCTTGCAAAGGGTGAACTTGTCCCTCCTGCCTGAATTCCCCAAATTCCCTGCATTTCCTGGTGCTCCAGCTCCTCTCCAGGCATGCTCTGAGGGCATCCAGGCATGGATGGAGCTTGGAAAAACTCATTTGAGGAGCTTTTTTAAATCCATACTGAAAGCTTTAATTATGAAAAAATAATATTTCTTGCATTTTCTATTCTTTTGTGCCTCTCACAATCAGAGAATTCCTGCCCAACCATTCCTGACAGGTTCAGGAAGCTTGGATACCACTCCAAAGGCTTTTCAAAATTACTTTCCCCCAAATTTTTCTCCAGTTTCTACAATTAGGAGTTATCAGGATGTTATTCCTGTGTTTTCTGCCCATATCAAGTCCAGCAGGAAAAAATTTGCTTCCCTGCAACTCACAGGAAAATCAAAAAGCAGCTACAGCGTTGCTATTCTTTTACCAATTTTAACTGAATTACAGAAAAAATTGGGATTTATCTGAACCTAAAGATTTAATCCARACAAGGAGCCCAACTGCACTTGGAAACACCCATGGAGACAACAAGGTGGCACCTCCAGACAATTCCATGTGGGAAAATCCTGGATTTTGGAAATCTGTGCTCAATGGCAATGACTAAATTTCCAGGCTGGGGTTTTCCTGCTTAAATTAATTAATTTCCTGTAATAAACCAAATTGAGATCCAACCATCACAGGAAATCAAGGTCAGAAAAAGCTGGAAAGAAAGAAAAAAATCTGGAATTTCTTACCTTCACTGCCAGGATTTTCCCACTTCGGACATGGTATGCCCTGYGTGAGGRAAAAAYGAAATAATTTCAGATCAYRYAAAATTCCCTCTGTAAGAATGTGAACTAAACCAACGAATTATGGCCAATTCTTTGTCATAACTCAAGAACCTGCAGAAAATACCRGCAAAAYTGAAWTTCTGCATTTATTTTAGGATTASAGGGTGAATATAAAGGTGGAAAGARTAATTGTTAATGTTCACAGGTACCCCAAATAATTTCCCAGGGTATTCCAACAGTGAAGAAGAAAAGCTTTGAAAGCTGGGGTTTTCTGCTTGTAAAATCATCCCAGGCAGGGTGCAAGTATTTAATCTTCTTTATAACCCCAAGTGCTTCCCTAATTCCTGGTAACAGCTTGGAAGTTCCTAAAAACTTTATCAACAACCCCAGTAACAAACTAAACCTTAACCAATAGCACTGATAACAATTTAATAACTCTTGGATAAACTTTTATGTAAAAAGTGGCATAGAGGGCAATTTTTAAAAAAGAGGGTTTAAAAGGCAGAGGGAAAAATATCAGTGATTTAATACTAGTGTGGAAAAGGAGATCATTCATGGGAGCTTTGATAGAGGAGGAGCTGCATCCCTGAATCCAGGAATCAATGAACCTGTGAATTCATTAATCCATGAATCCTTGAACCCATGAATTCATTAATCTGTGAATCCATGAATTCATTATTCAGTGAATCCTTGAATGCATGAATTCATTAATCTGTGAATCCCTGAATCCCCAAATCTGTGAAGCCATGAACCCAGGAACCTGTGAATTCATGAATCTGTGAATCCAAGAATCCATGAAAGCAAAAATCCAAGAATCTGTGAACCCACGGTCCCGTCAATCCATGAATCCTTGAACCCATGAATCCATGAATCCTTGAATCCATGAACCCACAAATCCATGATTCCATGAATCCCTAAATCCAAAAACAGGAACTGGGGATGAACCAACACTCTGGCTTTAGGAAGAGCAGGAACACTGACATGATGAAAGGTCAGCAAAAGCTGCTCAACGTCTGTGGCTCCATAGGGCGCACCCGGCCGGTTGGGCAGCTCAATTATCCGAGGAAAGCCGATCCTTTTTCCAYGGGAGAAGCAGCTCTCCAGTATCCAAGGGAAGGAGGAGGGAAGGCCTGATGATTTAATTATGGTGCACGCCAACTCATCCGTGAAGGCCGGCTCGGGTTCCCGGCCAGCACAGAGCCCGGGTTGGGTTTCCGGAGCGCTGACAGCGCCCAGTGAACATTTAATTATGGCCGGGAACCGGATCCCACAGGAGCAGGGAGCCCRGGGATGGAGCCTTTGGAATGCCAGGCTGCCCGGGAGAATGGGAATTGTTCACTCYGGGCATCTCAGCTGTCCTGCCCTGCCCCAGCACAAAGGGATGGATGAGAGCAACGGGAGCTTTGGTTACACCAAAACACAACCCTACACCTTTAATTAACAGCCACCGCTTCAATTARGCCAGAGCTGCTGCAGTAATTACCCCTTCCCAGGAGTGGGGAGGGAAAAAGGGGTTTCTTGAATCTTTTTCAAGGATGTTCTTGGAAGGTGGAATTGATCATTTTGGTCACCATCAGCAATGCTAAAGCTTGAATTWAAAACCTTTATGCAGCTTCTAAAATGAATAAAGGTATTATTTTCTGAAAAAAATCCCACGGGATAACAAGTCCAGCACAGGGAAAAGCAGATTTTAGTCAATCCATGGATGTCTGTGAAGGCAATATTCCCACCCAAAGTGGCATCTCCCAAATTTCGGTGCCACCTCCAAAAGTGAAGCAACCAAACCCATATTGTAGGAGCAGAGAAACAGAGCAGAATCCCAAAGATTCCTCAGCAACTCAGAATGTTTCAGGGAACACATTTAAAACCTTCCAGGATGGCAGGAAAATTAAAAAAAACAGCTAATAAATCCTTAACAGCAGCTAATAAATTCATATAAATAGCTTAGATGGCAAACAGAAGTCTTTTCTCAGAGCACCCATTTTACATCCACCCTGTGAGAAATTGCACTGAAGCCCCATAGGAGCTGCAGGATGCTGTGGCTGTGGGGTAATTCCTTTCCTGAACCAACCTCAGGCTGAAGCTGTGGTCAGCTCAAGGGAAACACTGATTTCCAATTTGTTTCCTAATTTTTAATTGCAAACCCCATGCCTGCATGGGAGTGACTGGACAGTGCTCACCCCATGAGCAGGGTGGAGTTTGCAAAGATTCCCGAGCGTTTCTCATCAAACAAAACCTCTTCTCACTATAAGCTGAGGTTATTCTTACATTAAATCTCAAAATAAACAGTCTCTACATAGAAAAATYCATAAAAAATTATCCTCTTAGATAATTTTTCCTCAGAACAGCCCTGAAGGAGCCTGSAGCAGCCCRRRATCWGCTTCCYACCWGCTCCCTCYGGCCACCAGGACYCAGCCTTTCATTTTTTYCCCCCCACAATGGCCATGGAAACAATTTCTAATCCATAAGAGATTCCTTGGCAAGCCTAAATGATTCAAGGGAAAGCCATGACCTGTCTGCCATGCCAATGAGTCAGTGCCTTCCAGCTCTGGAAATATAACCAACATCAGCAAAGATGACAAAATGATGGAGTGACAGCCCSAGCCAGCGGCGAGGGGGCTGTGGGATCCAGGGATGCAGCCCTGGGAGCAGGGAAAGCTGAGGCTGGAGCCACGAGGRGCTGGGGACCAGGGATGGAGGGATTTGAAGCAACAGATTGTGGCAAAAAGTGCATTACACTGTGGGGACGGAAATGAAGGGTTGAACGTGAGGAGCTGCTCAGCCTGGAGAGGAGAAGGATCCAGGGAGAGCTCAGAGTCCCTTCCTGAGCATTTTTGTGAGACATGGAGCCATTTCTTCGGGGGCTAAAGGAAGCTTCCACAATATTGACTGCACATTCCTGTCCAGAGAGCTGCTCTGAGGGCTGGAGCCAGGCTGGGAGAGCTGGGAATGCTCCCCTGGGGAAGGGAAGGATCCAGGGAGAGCTCAGAGCCCCTTGCAGGGCCTAAAGGGGCTCCAGGAGAGCTGGAGAGGGATGGGGACAAGGGATGGAGGGACAGGACACAGGGAATGGCTTCCACTGCCAGAGGGCAGGGATGGATGGGATATTGGGATGAAATTCTTCCCTGTGAGGGTCAGGCCCTAAGCTCAAACACAAACTCCCATTTCCCAGATCAGCTCCATCCTCCCGGCCAAGGACGTCCAACACCACCAAAAAACAGCTTTAATTTAAGAATCACCCAGTTCCTAATTAAACAGCCCCGGGCAGCTGGCTGGGCACATTTTAATCAGTTTCAATAACATATTGATTGGAGACTGAAGCTTAAAAATTAAAAGTAAAAAGATGAGCGGGGAATTGTCCCGTCTCGGGCCGGCAGTGGAGCCCTCGGTAAATAACTCCTCCTGTAACCATCAGCTAAATGAACACTCCAATACTGCGCCACAAAGTCTTCTGCAAAATTACTTTAACTAACAAGCAGGAATTTATCAGCTTCAGCCAAAATCGATGCTGAAATCAATTTGAACACTGGTTGTGTCTAAAGGGGCTCATTGGCAATTTAGGGAAATTACACCATGTAAATGCCTGTGCTTTAATTGAACAGCTTCATCAACGAGCCTGTGATTGCTGTCCGTTCATTTATTTACTCTGGCTGCAGCTCTGCAGAGGAATGGCTTTTGTCAGAGCCCAAGGAGGTGCTTTATCTTCATTTCATGCACTTCTGTGCAGAACGGATCCTACRGGGCGGGCGAGCAGGGCAYGGGGAGGGAGTGACCAAAGAGCACYGGGCAGTCCARTTCCAACCCTGCTGGGGATGGGGGAATCCAGGGGGACATTCCCAACCCAGGGATTGCWGCTCCAGGGCTTTTCAGAGGGAAACTGAACCAACAAACACAACCAAAAAGAAAAACAGGAAATGAAGGCAGTCCTGSAGAGGAAATAATGGGAATTATTTCCTCCATGGCTGCACCACAGGAATTAGGGGAGATGGAATTTCTTCAAATGGTCCCAACAAGACACCCATCCTGCCTGTGCTCCCTTCCTTGAGCCTGGGCTGGGACAAGCCCTGKGGGTTAAGGGTTGTGGGAACCTCCCTGGGGTCACCCAGTGGTGAAGCCACGAGGGGCAGCCCTGGATTGGGAACCTGGGGCTCTGTTCTTGCTCCTGTCACCACTCTGCTGCCTYGGGAAAGGGATTTCATCTCTGGCTCCATCTGCCCTCAGCAAAAGGGTCACAATAATCTGAATTCAAGGATTTCAGAAAGAGGGAAATGATAGATTCTGATGTTACACCTRYGTTGGAGAAAGGAAGGMWCCAGGGAGAGCTCAGAGMCCYTTCCAGGGCCTRAAGGGGCTCCAGGAGAGCTGGAGAGGGACTGGGRACAAGGGATGGAGGGACAGGACAYAGGGAATGGCTTCCCAYKGCCAGAGGGCAGGGATGGATGGGATATTGGGAWGGAATTATTCCCTGGGAGTGGGGGAGGCCCAGAAATGGAATTCCCAGAGMAGCKGTGGCTGYCCCWGGATCCCTGGCAAYGTCCCAGGCCAGGCTGGAACACCCTGGGATGGTGGGAGCTGTCCCTGCCCATGGAATGGGATGAGTTTTAASGTCYTTCCAACCCAAWYSATYCCWGGATTCCATGATATYCACAYGGAAAACCAGGAACAAAGGAATGSGGGAGARCAACGGCTCTGCCAAGGTTTGGGCTGGGYTCCCACAACATCTGAGGAGCTTCCAAAGGACAAACCAGGACCACAGAGGCCCTTCCTGCAGCTCCAGGAGGTGGAGTCACAGACCTCACACAACWCCCAGGAAATCCCAGGAGGATGTGCCCTGCCCTAAACTGAGCTCCTGGAACATCGGGAGCTGTGGATGAGCCAGGACAGGCCAGCCTTGCTCAGCCCAAGCACCTCGTGGCAACAGCAAACGATTCCACTGTTAATTAATACTACTAATTAATATATTGATATCAATATGAGTATTTATCAAATCATCCAGCTATTTCATTACCATCCCAGCGCATGGAGCTGAATCCCACCCAGCTCCCTGTCCCCAAACACAGCTCAGCCTCCTCCAGCTCCTGTCCCCAAGCACAGCTCAGAGCCCTGCTCCAGGGCTGCCAGAGCTTCCCCAGCAGGGCCAGAGCATCCCCAGCCCTCACCCAGGGCACAATTCTAGGCTATGGAGCTGCCCTGCCCAATCCCATCCCAATCCCATCCCATCCCATCCCATCCCCCACCCTGCAGTTACTGTGCTAATGGGGCACCCCAGGGCTGGCTGAGATGGGGAATGCAGGGATGGGCAGATGCTGGAATGTGTCACCAGACTGCAGAATCGCTCAGGGAAATTGCTCTGACAAATTAAACTTCCCCATTTATCCCGGTTTTCCAGGCTCTCCAATTCCTGGGATGGGACATCATCCACAGCCGCTTCTCTTCCAATTACTCAACTCACAAGTGAAGCCTTCTGCTTTCCCAGCCTTTTGCTGAGATGGAAACTGATTTTCCCATTCCTTCCCTCTCTCCTAGACCCTGGTAATTCTCAAATTAATGAGGGCATTGCCAGGGCTTTATGTTTATTTTGGTGCAGGGAGTTTTATGCTCCTGCTGCCAGAGACTCTGACTGAACCCAYGGAGTTACAGACCCCACACAGCTCCTGCTGCAAAATAAATCCCAGGAGGCTGTGCCATGCCCTAAACTCAACTCCTGGAACATCTCACTCTTCCTTTCTCCTTGAAAAACAAAAACTGGGAAACATGAAATACGAATAAAACATTCATTTTGCCTCTATAGAAAGGAAATAATGAAGATTTAAACATGCCACATGAGTAAGAAGTGACAGAGTAATTATTGCCAGAGATAAACATCACTACCTTGCAATTTTTAGGTTCAAAATCTACACAATTAAGGATGTGAGGTCTAAATAATTTCATGGAGCTGCTCCTGAGGCTGGCAGAGCACATCCACACATTCTACATTAACCTAAGGAGGGATCTCCTCTGAGCAGACTCTGCTGGAGCCCAAAGCAGCAGCACAAAGCACAACCTTTCCATGTCTTTTGGACTGACCAGGCAATAATTTGCTCCAAAATAAAGCAATTTCAGCAAATCCACAGATGTCCTACCATACAGTTTGAACAGCGCATTGTGCACCTCACCAGGTTCTATGAATGAGCTGGCAGCTGAGTTTCCAAAAATGCACAGAATTGGACTTAAAAACTCCACAGACAGTGGGAATCAGGGTTGATGACACAACCTACACATAGCACATGGCAAACAGCACAGCAGCACAGCCAGGGGTTCTCAGGCTTTGCTACAGCACATTTCAGCCCTTTCTCGACAATCTTTACCCAAAACAGGGCACCCTCTGCCCACTGAGCAGCAGTGGGAGAATCCCTGCTTCCTGCTGGAATATCCAATATACAGCAGTGGAATAATCCCTGCTTTCTGCTGGAATATCCAATATACAGCAGTGGAAGAATCCCTGCATTCTGCTGGAATATCCCATACACTGCAGTGGAAGGATCCCTGCTTCCTGCTGGAATGTTCTATGGACAGCAATGGAAGGATCCCTGCTTTCTGACTGAATATTGAACAGGCAGTCTGGGCTCGTTTTCTGTTTTCTCACATATTTTTGAACATGCAAGCAGCCAAGGCTAATTAACTGCTTTGGCCATACCTGACACYGGAATTTTCATCGTTCCTTAATTAAGCGAAGCACGGATCAAAAGGCARGGGGAGAAGAGGACGCCAAGGAACCATCAAATCCCTTCTTTWCAGAACAGGAAAAAACCCTCGGATTCAGCAAGTTCCCCCTAGAAATATTGCCATAAAGTATTGATTTTTTCAGCGGGCTCAATTGACTGAAAAGTTGTTTGGATAGCAATACGGGCCRAGCCAATATCGCGGAACAATTCCGGCCGCACGCGGTAATCAAGTGCATTCCCCAAGTATAATTATCCTGTCATAAAAACAAAGCTGGGACACCTCCTCTCCGAGCCATAAAGCAGCTGTGGCTGTAAAGAACCCAAATAAATGAAATCCATCCCCTAACCAAACGCAGAGCAGCCCCACCTCCCCTCTGCAGCCGGGAGAAGTGATCAATACTTCAATCTCCGCCAACGATTCCGATGGAATCAACTGCGTTCCCACGCAGAAGGGAGGTTGGGAAATTTTTGCTCGGCCTCGTTCCCCAAGCACCGGGAACATGTCGCTGCCATAATGGATATGAGTTGGGATAAAGGGCTGGGAAGAGAGGGGAAATAATAAAAAAAAAAGAGGACAACAAAAAGAAACCCCAAAAAAAGGGCATAGGCGGGCTTGGTGTTGGGCTGCAAATCAATGGCCAGCGCTGCGGGAGGGAACCAGCCCGACCCCTGCAATTCATTCCACCTGACAAATGTTCATTGATTTATGGGAATATAAAACATCCCCGGGCTGCTGGCTCCGGCCGGGGCGATCCGGGAGCGCTCCCGCAGGAATTCCCCGTCGGGGTGTGGGTGCTCCGAGACAGGGAGAGGTGAGAGCCTGTTGGAAAAGGGGGATTGGTCCAGGGTGGGAGCTCTGGYACAGGGCTGGGAGAGCTGGGAATGCTCCCCTGGGGAAGGGAAGGATCCAGGGAATCCTTCAAGGACCTGAAGSGGCTCCAGGAGARCTGGAGAGGGACTGGGGACAAGGGATGGAGGGACAGGACACARGGAATGGCTTYC